AACCATTATGCATGCATTCTCTATGTGGTCTCATGGGATGCCATGAAAGATTTTCGGGATTATACACGCAAGTACGATCTCTGACACACGCATTTCCGACCTAGCATGTCAACACCCCGAAAGCACTAGCTGGCTTCCTCACCTGTATGAAACCAACCAAACATCGATCCGGTCCAGTGGATGGATGCATGCTCTATGTGGCACGAAGTTTGTCAGCCGAGCCAGTCAATGGACCGGATCAATGGTACCGGAGGGAATCCATTGTAGACCAACGCTCCATCAATGTTCGGTGTGTGTGCTACGTCCATCGTAAGACAAACATAGTTCCGTCAACCCTAAAACCCTTAAACCCTAAACCCTGATAACCCTAAACCCCCCCTCCCACTAAACCGTAAAACCATTCAAATTTTTGCCCCACATGGAAACCATTATGCATGCATTCTCTATGTGGTCTCATGGGATGCCATGAAAGATTTTCGGGATTATACACGCAAGTACGATCTCTGACACGCGCATTTCCGGCATAGCATGTCAACACCCCGAAAGCACTAGCTGGGTTCCTCACCTGTATGAAACCAACCAAACATCGATCCGGTCCAGTGGATGGATGCATGCTCTATGTGGCACAAAGTTTGTCGGCCGAGCTAGTCAACGGACCGGATCGATGGTACCGGAGGGAATCCATTGTAGACCAACGCTCCATCAATGTCCGGTGTGTGTGCTATGTCCACCGTAAGACAAACATAGTTTCGTCAACCCTAAAACCCTTAAACCCTAAACCCTGATAACCCTAACCCCCCCCCCTCCCACTAAACCATAAAAACATTCAAATTTTTGCCCCACATGGAAACCATTATGCATGCATTCTCTATGTGGTCTCATGGGATGCCATGAAAGATTTTCGGGATTATACACGCAAGTACGATCTCTGACACACGCATTTCCGACCTAGCATGTCAACACCCCGAAAGCACTAGCTGGCTTCCTCACCTGTATGAAACCAACCAAACATCGATCCGGTCCAGTGGATGGATGCATGCTCTATGTGGCACGAAGTTTGTCAGCCGAGCCAGTCAATGGACCGGATCAATGGTACCGGAGGGAATCCATTGTAGACCAACGCTCCATCAATGTTCGGTGTGTGTGCTACGTCCATCGTAAGACAAACATAGTTCCGTCAACCCTAAAACCCTTAAACCCTAAACCCTGATAACCCTAAACCCCCCCTCCCACTAAACCGTAAAACCATTCAAATTTTTGCCCCACATGGAAACCATTATGCATGCATTCTCTATGTGGTCTCATGGGATGCCATGAAAGATTTTCGGGATTATACACGCAAGTACGATCTCTGACACGCGCATTTCCGGCATAGCATGTCAACACCCCGAAAGCACTAGCTGGGTTCCTCACCTGTATGAAACCAACCAAACATCGATCCGGTCCAGTGGATGGATGCATGCTCTATGTGGCACAAAGTTTGTCGGCCGAGCTAGTCAACGGACCGGATCGATGGT